GCTAGGTATAATAGGTGTAAAGAAGGTAAAGGAAAGATAGTAAACACCCTGGCGAAATTCCTTCCCCGAGGGCGTATAGGATCTTATTCTTATTATATGTTATATTGCTTACTTGAAGCCTCTACACGGTAATCCGAAGCAATGCCAATCAATAACTGCAGCCCGGTATAAAACACTCTAACTCAACAAAAAGTATTCCAATTCTAATGAAATATATAGAAATCATCCTCATTATTAAATAAATTGACATTTTAAAACTGATTTGAAATTACAATGGTTCTTGGGGTTTTCATTAAATATTTATAATAAAGTGTTGAAAAGAAAATGGCTGACAAGAGCTCACTAAAAAAGGTTCCAGAACTCTTACATCAATTAATAAATCTCAGGTACAATGAAAAAGAAGAAATTTTATAGGAGTTCATTAGCGTAGCGCCGCACTTAGCAAACTCGTAAGGCATTACAAAAAAGTAAAGAATTAGAGTTCCGCATGATCAAATGCAGAGGCAGTGTTTTGCAGTTCTGGGATACCCGTTTCTTTCGGTGCGAAGTTTCCTTGTCTGATTTCGTTCAAAGCGACGTCGAATCGAGCTCCTGCAAGCCATGCTGCTCCGATCTAGATAGTGTTAGTAGAGATTTCATGAGTCCAGGGGAAGAAACATACCATAAGTCCAGAGACGACTATCAGGGTTCCGAATACTGCCAACATGAGGTAGAAGACATCTTTCTTGGCCTCTGCTTCCTCGGCTGCTGATTTTTTCTGTGCTACAGATGTTTCACCAGCTAGTTGTAAAGCAATCGCCTCAGGATTTTGAGATGGGAATATAGATTCAATGAATTGTTCGATCTAAAGGGAGTTAGTCTTGTGTGTTTGTGTAATAATATCGAATAACAAACCTTTCCGCAAGCAATGCTGATCTGAAGGAAGTTGGGGTCCTTGGGTGAATTCTTTTTATTTATCCTTCTTGCATATCTCTTAAAGATATCACAAACTGTACGCAAATTTTGTGATGATTCCATCATCAATTGGCAAGCATCACCCTTCGTGATCTTGACATTCTTCTCGAAGATAGTAGGATTCTGGAAAACAAGCTCTAAGGTTGCGATTGCCATGGCTTGTGGAATAGCAACAAAATTGAAGACACTCTGGTCTTTAATGCCTGCCATGTAGAACAAACATTCATCGGCCTGGCGGAGAGAATTTAGAACCATTTCTGAACTGCAATTCAAAGCAAGTTGTCTATTTTTGGGATCGAAAAGATCGTCAAACTTATCAACGTGCTTCGACCAGATCTCCTTGGGCCAGAAACGTCTCTTGTCATCGAAATCTTCGCGAATATCACGAATGATATTTGTCTTTTGGAGGAATTGACCCATGGCTTCGGACAATTCTGGCTTGCCGAGCAAAGCTGGGTTTGCCACCTTGGCCTCGACGAACAATCTTGTCAAACCATCTCCTACGAGACCGGCTACATAATGACAGTATAATTCATAATCCTTGATAGTGTTGACACCATTGATGTTGTGCTCTGCATTGTTCGCATAATCGGCCATTCCATTACCCATCTTTTTAGTAATATCCTTGATAATGCTCTGGTATGCTGGTTTGCACTTCTTGAATTCAGTGATGACACAGTCAAAGTGAACCAAGAGTTCTCGATCCTTTTCATTTGGTCCGTTCTCGTTGAATGTCCATCCATCCTTCTCAATGATGCTGTCAAAAGTTCTCAACAACGGTTCCTTCTTGTCTAATGGTATTGTCATATCATCTTCAACGGTATCTAAGCCTCGCAGAATCAAGTAGAAAAGGGCGACTGGCACAAGCAATTCGGGGTTCAATTCTTGGATGACTGAACTAAAACTTCGACTGGTCAATTCGAGGTATTTGAAGCAATCTTTGAGGGACTGAGGTTCCTTGGATGGATTTCTGATATGGACTGGGTCGTGCCATAGCTTCCTGGTTCATGTGTTAGTGATGGCAGTTGAGGAGATGTACGTGTTGAGAAGGTATACCATTGTAGGATTGCTCTCAACTGATTTGGATGAACGGAAAAGTAAAGGAGACTTTTGACGAGACCCATGATGAATGAAGTGGAGATGATTTGACAAATGGATTATCAAAGTTTCTGAACGCGCCGAGTATGTGCAAGAGTTGAATTAAGTTGTTGTGGATAATCGTTTCTCTGTGAGTTGATGTGCTCGACTGACTGACTGACTGTATATGGAAATTATGAACGGCCGCGGTCGTCAATTGTTGATCCGAGTCCGTCTGTTGAAATTGGAATCGAATGAATGTATGTTGAGAAAGCGACAAGATGCGTAAGAAGATGGAGGTATCAGTCCAACTTCCGAAAAGAAATAACAGATAAATTGGGTGAAATGGGAGAATTGGGAGAAATGTATCTGCCAGCAAATTTCAGGATATTATTTATTGGAAGTTGAATGGGGTAATTTCACCGCCCAATCTGTGCAGTAAAAAGGACGCTTTGGAGTTTAGGGACTAGTGATTTTCATGCTTTGCAGGTGGTGCATACAAAGAAGGGGAAAGAAGGGGATTTGAAAGTTTATCTTGGAAAACCTTGAAGTTCCATGGGAGATCAGACAATCATACATGTAATGTCGTCGGAGGTACCAGGGTACAGAGTTTGCACCAGCACGTTGGGATTTGGATGCGATTGATGCGATTGATGCAATTGATGCAATTGATGCAATTCAACATGCTTGCACGTTATACTTGTCAATATTCAATCGTGAATTACATCACATTACCTTACGACGATGATGTCGAGGATGTTGATGAGAAGAACAGAAATGAAGTGTCCAAAACTCTACATACCTCCATACCTCCTCCGTACACACACATCTTTTTCACCCCTTTTATTACATCTGAGCTCTCAAGGCTCGAGGCTCTCTTTTCCATATTGACAACCAACCAACCCCAAATTCTCTTTCGTCTGGTACAATGCACATCCATCTTGCAGATCAACCAATTAAATCACGGTAAGAAATTTGTCAAAAAGGAGGCGAGTCAGGCGACGAAATCTGTTCAACGGACGAGGCTGAGCAATGCTAATAAAATATCCCGCCCATCACCCGGTATGCGATAATCTCATGGTCCAAGTACATTATTATGCTTCGACTCACTTGAACATTATCATGATAATACCATCTTCCTCCACACTCTCGGTTTCATGGCTTCTTATCTTTAACTCTTACCGCCAACCTCACCGCATTGTCCATGATCATATCACATAGCGCCTGTCTGTGAATTCTAGCTTGCCGCACGCTGAGCCATTACCAACTACAATCCAACTCGATTGACATACAACTGCAATATATATATATATATACTTGGGCGTTTACCTTCATTTGAGCTTATCAAAATAGGGCTTGCGGATATCACTCTCTCAACATCCTTCATTCAATCGCAATTTGCGAATTTCAGTAATGGCCGCCGACATGGAACCTTTGGAGAAAGATGTGGAACAGGCAGAGTCGAAACCGATGATTGGGGAAGAGACGCACAACGATAGATATGATGGCAATGAGGGGAGAAGAAAGAAGAGTCTAGCGAGTAAGATTGTCGATGTTGCTTGCATTGGGTTGAACATCATCAGTACAGTAGTTCTTGTTTTTCTCAATAAATGGTTTGTGTAAACCCTAACCTTGATCCGAAAACACAAGATCTAATGATAACGTAGGATATTCAAAGACCCCCAGCTGCGAAATATGCAAATATCCTTTGCGATGTGGCATTTTACATGCACAACCATTGTATTATGGATAGCTAGTCGTTCTGCCTTTAAGCTTTTTGTCCCCATACGACTGCCATTCCTTCAAATGCTTCCATTGTGCTGCTTCTTTGCCGGCTTTCTCATACTTGGAAATTTGAGTTTAGCATTCAACTCTGTGGGCTTCTATCAGTCAGTTGCTCACCCCAACTCCTTCTTTCCAACATCCCACTAACCCCCCTCTTCAAACCAGACTCGCCAAAATAATGACCACACCCTGCGTTGCCCTTCTCCAATACGTCTTTCTCTCCAAAGCCGTCTCTGCGCAAACCATCCTCGCCCTCGCCAGCGTCTGCGTAGGTGTAGGTCTAACTAATACTGGAGCCTCGGGAACTACCACCTTTGGCGCATCCATCGCTATTGCTGCATTTGTAGTAACTGCGTTCTACCAAGTCTGGATTGGCAAGAAACTTACCGATTTCAAAGTCTCTTCTCCGCAACTTTTACTCAATCAAGCCCCGATATCTGTTTTGATTCTAGCGTTCTTGGCGCCGTTCTTCGATACAAAACCAGATGTGTCGGTTATACCGAGGGATACACTTATTGCGCTTGGTCTGAGTGGCTTGGCGGCTGCATTGCTGAATTTGAGTCAATTCTTGATTATTGGAAGAATGTCGGCATTGACATTCAATGTAGCTTCCAAGTACGAACACCTTCCCTATTATCTTACCCCCAAACATCATGTGCTAACCCGTTCATCCAGTGTCAAAACAATCATAATCCTCACCTACGGTTTCATGAGCGAAGGTCGAGTCCTCACCATCAAGGATTCCATGGGCATATTACTAGCTTTGGGCGGCGCAACGGTGTATAGCCAGCTTTCACAGCGGTGAGAGAAGCGTGTTGTAATGTGTAACGAATCTTGAGGCCATCGGTGAAATATAGGCGTTGGAGCATGAGCCAGGTGTTTTGTTTGGTATGTGAGATCTTCAATCTTGGAATTACATAGGTAGAGAGATAATCTGTGTAATAAATTATGTTTTAATGACCCGCGTGTGTATACTGAAAACTATCTGTCGAATTCATTCGAAGCAGAAAAAGCCCACACGGGATCTATACATACATGTCAAGACGTAATGAATTCAAGTCGGGAAGATTCAACTGTGCATGCATAGATTTTCATTTGTAGTCTCAATCATCGGCAGCTATATAGAAAACCCCAAGTGGCTGAATGAGCCTACCGGTGCTTAGCACGGCCAGATGAAAGAGTTCAGAAGTAATGATTTCATGAACATCGAATGGCATTTTCACAACACATCATCTCTAATCAAAGATCTAACTATCTGCTATTCCACATTAATAAACCTTAGTTGATCACCACAGAGCAACATGAAACTAGATGGGTAGAGTTTTGAAACACGCATAATCATGTATCTATGTATACCTGAGATAGATATAAAATACACCAAAGGCTCAGAGGTCCTTTTGCAAATGGTGATATCCATTGTATTGCTTTCAAATATACATCTCTAAACTCCTTACGCCTGATGCCTAAAACCCATTAGACAATGCTAAGGTGTAAACAAGACAACGTGAAGAAACACAACAGTGTATACTACGCTAATTCATTATATGTATCGCAACCCATTTACCATATCCATATCATACCAATCATACATTCTACATGCAGAATCTACTCTCGTTTGAATTCAATATCAACTTATCGACACCGTGTATCAGCCATCGTCCACCAGCCTCATTTACCGTCTCTCTACCAATAAGAAATGCATCGCCACATATGCTAAGAAGATAAAGGCACCGGCGAAAATAGCGAGATTGATTGCATCTGGCCAGAATGCCTGCGTGTTAAATCCGAAACTGCTCAAGATTACGGCGCCGGGAACGGTAATGTCGAGTTTGTATTTCTGATCCACGAGTGTCAAATATGTGACTTCGTTAACGATTAGAGACTCGAAGCCGTAGTGGAAAATAGATAAGGATTGTAGCCAAAGAGCGGATTTGGGGATAGCATCGTGGTTGAGGAGAAGACCGGCAAAGAGGAGACTAAATAGCATGACAAGACTTCCGATGAGACTTGCAACGCCGTTATCTTTGAAGACAATACCAAGGAAAAGACAGATTGCAGCCGCTGCGAGATTGAAGAGGACGAGGATGAGGAGGAATTTGAAGAAATTAGGAGCTTCAGCTACAAGTCCAGTCATAGGGTATAAGATAGAGCCCATAATGAGAGGAGGAATAATTCGGAGTGGTACGATGTCGAAGAGAACTTTGGCAAAAAAGTACGTGACAGGAGAGTAGTAGCCATTTGCTCTTTCTCTGACAAAAACCATTCGCTCGGTAGCAAAGACGTTCAGACTGGAGAGGGTACTGAAACCGAAAAGCGCTAGAATGAAAAAGAACAGTCCCAAGCGATTCTGGAATCCCGGAATGTCATCAGTCAGGCCATAAAACAAGAATCCAGACAGTACAGCCAACAAAATTGCGATTGCGTAGTGTGTCAACATCAACATCGGATTTCTGTAAAGATTGCGCCAGGTGCGTTGTGAAAGAATAACAAATTGTCGAAGGTATCCAACTCTTGCATATCCTCTGCCCATCGTAGTGGTGGCTGTTGAGCTGTTCTCCTGTACATGTCCATTTGTGGTTCCATTGGCATTTTGAGCGGCGGAAACAGCGTTTTTGAGGTCGTCCTGAAGATCTCTGGCGATTGGAGATTGTGCATAAGAAGATACCAGAACATCCAAATCTGAACCAGATCCAGGTGCATCAGGTGGTAAATTATCTGGATCTTCGGCAATCGATGAATGTTGTCTTGACATCCTGAGCCAGTGCTGGTTGGCCTCTGGGTCCACAGGTGCCTCATCGGGTTGGGAAGTAGGGGTGTCGACTCCACTCTTCTTACGAGTAAATAGCTCACGTTCTTGCTTTGCCCTTACAGAGTCACGACGTTTGCCTTTAGGTCTTAATAGGGACTCGCTTGGGCTACCAACAACAGGTTCCTCAATGCTACCGCCAGAAATGCTTGCAATTGACTTAACCGCCCTAGTACTGCTTGCTCCAACGCTTGGTGTAACGCCATGTCTGAAATCGGATGTAGTATCATCAATCGGGGTGCGAGGTGTACCAACATGCATTGTTAAATCAACCAAGTAGTCGGCAATATTGAAACCAGGTGGGCAGGCGTAACCAATGTGATCGAAGTATTCTTGACAAAGATTGAACTCTCCGGAATAGACCGTTCTTCCTTTTGCGAGAAGTAGTAGTCTATCGAACAAAGCCACAATGTTAGATCTTGGTTGATGAATGGTAAATATGACCGTTCTTTTATAGTTCTTAGCCAGGTTGACGAGACATTCAATGACGTTGAATGCGTTGTATGCATCAAGACCACTAGTTGGCTCATCGAGGAACAATATGCTTGGACTGGTAACTAATTCACAAGCGATTCCAACTCGACGTTTCTCTCCACCAGAAATACCGCGACCCTTGCCATCTTCAGAACCAATCAAAGAATCCTTAATATGAGAGATACCAAGCTGTCGCTCAACTTCAAAGACTCTCTGCTCTTTGGCTGATTTTCCCATGTCTCTTGGCAATCTCAAAAGAGCGCTAGTCATGATCGTCTCGTGAACGGTAAGAGTAGGCAACATAGCATCTTCTTGATCAACGAACCCGATGACACTTCTGTATTCATTATCTGTGACCTTTTCGCCATTGACATAGAAATTTCCTTGAACAACACCTCGCTTATTTTTACGAGCAAGAATGTCAAGGAAGGTGGTTTTACCAGCTCCAGATGCACCCATGATGGCCATGATCTCGCCAGGATGAGCTACACCTTGAACACCAGTCAAGATCTGCTTTCCATTTATATTGTATGAAACATTCTCAAAGTATAGGGAGGCGGGCTTATGATCGGTCATTAGCTTGATGCTCTCGTCATCGGAATCGTCTAGATGAATAGGGCCGTATTTGAATTGCCTTCGAGACAAGTACCAAACTAAAAGAATGACTCCAACAACGAATAGAGATGCAATGGCAATGACACCTGCGATCAAAGGCGTGTTGATTCTCTTGATAGGGCGTTCATATCCTGGAATCTCGGTTTCGTAAAGACATTCTCCCGCCTGACAATTGATAAAAATGCTGCTATCTCCAAACATTTGTTGAATCAGCAAATCCATTTGAGGTTCCTTAAAAGTACATTCGTTGCTACCATCCTTCTGCTCACAATTAAAGGTTGCAGGACCTCTAATTTCTTGATCGAGGAAGTCCGAAATGTCAACCGATCCGTTTTCACCGCAAAGCATTCGGTCCGGAACACACTTGCAAGCAATGTTTTCACATTTTGCGCTGGTCGAGTTGCGGTCATAATCGTTTTGCGCGCCCGATGTACAAGTATCCAAGGAACAGTAGAACGACTCTCTTTCGTCGACCCAGAATTGAAAGTCACAGGTCTCTACTTCAGCGTTGCAGGTAAAAGTAACCTGGGGCTTCTTGCCATCCAAGATATCCAGAATCTTCCTGTTTGTGACGTCGCACATCTGATAGTTCTCCTTTACGACCTCGCCATTTTGATAACAGACGCCTCCCTCTTTTTCTGGCATTAGAGCGTTGCATGCCTTGTTGTTCGTGCAGACATTGCAGTTGATTCCTGTCCAGCCATCTTCGCAAGCGCATGAATCTGTTGTTCGCATAGGCCGGTCCTTTCCATCTGCCAAAGAGCCACAAACTATCAAGAGTCAGTGGGGAAGTTTTCCAGAATTTGCAGCAAGTTTGGCTAACCTGGCTGAAGACAGTCATCGCCACCGAATCCTGGTGGACAGGAGCATTTGCCATTGTATTGATTGCAGTCAGAATATTGCCCGCAAGTAAATGCGGGTAGTAAACAATTAAAACTATATCCAGTCAGCAAGATATTTTGGTCTAGAAGAAGAGGCGCAGTACCAAGGAGGACAATCGTCAGGTCGGTCGTCCATCAGAGCTAATTGGGCTTTCATCGAGTCTATCGACGAATAGTTGGTGAAAGCGTGCGCGTTCCATGATAGAGACAGAGTGGCGAGGACTACAGTCCCTAGTTGAAGTCGTTTCATCGTTCGTGGATATTTGCGAAAATCGCGATGGTTGAAAGTGGGAGCTTGCTAATGGAACCAGCTTAATGCTGCGGTGAAGCGACGACTCTTGATGCCATGTAAAGTAGAGATGAGGGATCCGAACAATACTTGGAACGAACAAATAGCAGTGAATTTCAAAGAGAGGAATTAAAGAGAAATGCTTGCGTGGTAACTCGATAAGATGTTGAAGGAGAGAATAACAAAATTAACAATAAACCAAATGAAGCTTGTTCTCAAGCAAGTGTTGAAGAAGAGTTGAACAGCTTAGGTAGGTAGGTAGTAGGTAACCTTAAGAGGTAATAGTGAGTGTCGGTCGTATCATTCACGTTCATCGGAGAGAGTTTTAGCTTGTCCGTCTCCTGTCCTGACAGTCCTGTCCTGTCCTGTCCCAACAGCCTGACAAGAATAAGCGGGGATTGATAAAAGCTGGAGCAAGGCAAAGCAGCTGTCAGGAACCAAAAGATAAAAAGATAAGCTGGCAGGTTGGAGAATGGATTAGAAATTACGATGACATCGTATTAGGTATGTTTTGTTTGTATCGTTCATGTTGCAAAGTGATGGTTGGAAATGGAAAGCTTTATGGAAAGCTCTTCGACTATCTTTCAATCCTCTCTATATACATATATGTACATGCTAATAAGACTTTCCTAAGTTTCTCCATCATATCAATGTACAATGAGATGTACCTACTGAGCTACTCAATCAGCACTCTACGTAAAGTAGAGCATGTCAGGGCAAACGTTGTGTCTGAGCTTCACAAAATCTCCAGCATCCTATTGGTCTATGGCTTCCGATTCCTCACTCTTTCCTGGGGATGGCCGAGGTTTAGCAATCTCCACAATGCAATGTCATCCACGCCTTTCAAATATACTCCATATGACTGACAACTTGTTCCTACTGCAATATTGAAAATGTAGGTTTGTCAAATATATATAAAACAAAGATGTCCAATCCAAATGCCAACATCTCTTAGTCTTCTCTTCTAGACAATACTCTTCAACCCGTATACACTCTACCATCTCAAACATGGTCAAGATTGAGCCTTTCGCCGTAGAACAAGTACTACCCCTCCATTCTCCACCAAAACTGAAATGTCTCTAACATTCTACTTCCAGTGGATGGACAAATATGAGCTCACGCCTGGGGTTCTCAATATTGCCGAAACATGTGCAGCTTCCATCTCCATTGACGATCTCGTAAAGTTATCCGAAGATCCAAATCTGCCTCACCCAATCTCAACCTCGACCAAACTCACATATGGACATATCCGTGGATCGCCCGCTCTTCGAGAACGTTTAGCGTCTCTTTATTCCGCGAGAACTGCATCGGCTCTATCGCCAGAGAGTATACTCCTCACGCGCGGGGCCATTGAAGCGAATTTCCTTACACTCTATACGTTGATTGGCCCTGGAGATCATGTAGTTTGTGTGCATCCAACTTATCAACAACTATACTCTGTTCCACAAAGTCTCGGCGCGGAAGTCTCGCTATGGAAGTTACACAAGGGAAAGAAATTCATTCCTGATCTAGAGGAGCTGAAGCAATTAGTCAAGGAGAATACCAAAATGATTATTATCAATAATCCAAACAACCCTACCGGAGCTACGATTCCAAAGTCTGTTTTACAAGGCTTGACGGAGTTTGCGAAGGAAAAGGGTATCATTATTCTAAGCGATGAAGTTTATCGACCATTGTTTCATGGAATATCAGTAGCTGACGCAGAATTCCCTCCGTCAATGGTATCCATGCCTTACGAGAAAATCATAGTCACTGGCTCCATGTCAAAAGCCTACTCTCTAGCTGGTATTCGCATTGGTTGGGTCGCATGCAAGGACAAAGCTATCATCGAAGCTCTCGCGGAAGCTCGAGACTATACCACTATTTCTGTCTCGCAGCTTGACGATCAAGTTGCCTCTTATGCCATGAATCAATCCGTCATTCATGCACTCCTTGGTAGGAATATCAAACTTGCCAAAACCAACGTGGCACTTGTAGATGCTTTTGTCAATGAACATAGCGAGAACCTGTCTTGGGTTAAGCCAAATGGTGGCACCACAGCCTTTATCAAAGTGGAAAACAGAAGGGAGCCAGTGGATGATGTGCAATTCTGTGAGGATGTTATTGGGAAGACCAAGGTTATGTTCTTACCGGGCTCGAAATGTTTCGGTGAGGAATTTAAAGGTTATGTGAGAATTGGATTTGTGTGCGAGACGGAGGTTTTGAAGGAAGGTCTGCAGAAGTTGGGAGAATATATTCGGGAACATTTGAAATGATGAATAACGAATAGACATTATCATGATCCAAGCAACGTTTCAAACTAACATAATACCCTAATAAATGAAATCATTGTTCTTACCCAGTGCACCTTTATCCCGTTTCAGAACGCATCTTTCATTTCATGGTGAGGTGAGCTACTTCTTAGACTGCAGTCCAAACCACTAAACACGGTTCCCAAAAATCCGGACTAGCAGACTAATTGTAAACTCTCGATGTTTGGACACAATGCAATATTTAAACTAAATGCAAAAATGCAATTTTATTTATAAAAAAAAAAAGCTGTGGAGAAATTAAAAGCAGTAGAATATTCAAATTGAAACTGTCATCCCTAACGGTATCTATCTCGATCATATATTTGTATGCAGACATTGAAAGCTTAAAATTGTTGGGTTAGGTTGTGCTCTGAACGGATCGATAAAAATGCTATGCATACCTATCTACCTAGGTATATACCTACAGAACAACGAATGAGCCATCTCAACATCATTTAATTACTTAGGTGCTCATAGTCATACATTCAACAGCATGAGAAGTCAACACACCATCAACCCGTATCAATATTGAAATTCTTTCCTAATCTTTGTATTCTCCATTGGGTATAAACATATATCTAAAGCATAATCATAATCATAAGCAAACAAACATCGCAGTCCCTCCATTCCTCATTGTCATTATCGTCTCTGGTTCCTTCATCCTCCTCGTCGATTCCCTCCTTCTAAACCACAGTCTCCCATCATTATTCATTCATCAATCATTGTCCTCATATCCACTTCCCTAGCTCGCATCTCTCCCCAACGACCAACACAAAAGACATCACTCTCCAAACCTCATACCTTCTCCTCCTCAAGAAATCTCAAGAGCCATTCCCTTCCCCGCCACACCAAGCCCACCCATTGCAACCCCCTCCTTCCCCCCAGAAGAATAACAAATCTCTCTAAACTTAATTCCCTCCTCCCCATTCCCATTCCCATCCGCACACTCAAACCCCGTGCTTGCATTCTCCCGTCCCGCTTGCGCACTGCTCAATCCAACCATACTCTTTACCTTTCTCATTCCCTTAATCCTATTCAATCCACCCATCGCGATATCCATCCCGTCCATCTCCATCTCCACATCATCTTCAAATTCAACAGCACTTCCATTCAACGCCTTGCCTACAGAGAATCCAGCAATCCCATTTCCGCTATTGACAGAAGCTTCGAGTGCAGCGGCCCTCGCCATGGCTTTGCTCGTCTGTACACCATAGGTGTAGAGAGCGGTGAAGACGAGAGAGGTACCTAGCATGACGTGGAGGGTGTAGAGGATGTAGAGGGTAATGGATTTAGAGCTGAGGAGGTAGGCGAGGTTGGAGAACATTTTGAATGATGTAGGACTTGTACTTTAAGGGCTACTTTCTGTGCTTCGAGTAGTGGATTTATATGTGTTTTGTTGTAGAGTATGGTTGATACTCGAAGTCGAAGTCGAGATTGATGGTGGGAGTAAGAGAGTGGTTGTTTGTGGATTGGGTGGAAGTTGTATGAGGAGCTTTTGATAAAGTGAATTGATAGTAATTTATGATGGTATTGTATTTGTTTTCGTGAATTTTTTGGTAAGATCTGAGTTGTATGTTGTATGTTGTATGTTGTATGTTGGATAAGGTAGAGGGAAGATTGGTGTTGGGTCGATTTGATTGTAGTGCTTCGGAAAAGGCAAGAGCAGATGACTTATATCTATACTTCTTGATTCTTGAAAAAACGCGCGGTACCAATAGAAGAAGAGATTTTTCTTGATTAAATTTTTTCAAAGCATTGCCGGGCCATTATTTATTGATTGTTGTGATCTCCTTCAACCCCATATTCTGAAGTCATCGTGAAGTTACTACGATTAATGAATTTCTCCTTGCAAGGAACATGCTCGCAATATCATTCATGCCCATAGAACCAGCAAATCATCCCATAATTTTTAGGGAGTGAAACCCCTCAAGCGAGCCCAACTGCCAGCACATCCCTCGCGTGAAGGGGAAAGACACAGCCTTATTTCAGGGGTAGCCACGGTAAATGCATTCATGTCAATAATATGAGCCGCGAATATAGGGCTTAATTTTCAGCGCATGAAGCACTTTTCAACGTCGTCTAATCTTTTCACCGAATGCACTACGTCAGTGCGGAGTCCTTCTGGAACATCTGAAAGAAGGGCATGGTGATAGGAGATCGTGAGATAGAGATGAAATCGTAGGAGGGGGAAAATAGAGTTTAGTAGTAAGGGTTGAACGGCATTGATGACCTCAAACTTCGAATGTTACCCAGCCACCACAATATATCGAGTTCACGACTCAGATGCTTGGCCATCATCTATGTATTATGGGGGATAATAGAGTGCGTGTTTGATAGAAGTAAAATTGTATGATGGGTAGTTCATCGTATGTTTGGTGGTCGGGCATTTATCCTTTCAGAATGGCGGGTCTGAGTGTTTCGTAAGATATTCGACCTCCTGCCATTGACTTTCATTGAAGTTCACATGACTCATTAACAGTGATTTGGAATACCCAATTCCCATCAATGAATTTCGAATGTTTCCAGGTCGTATAGTCCGTTTTTTACTCCTCGAATGCCTTCTCCATACATGAAGCCATCAATGTATGCCTCTCCCACGAGAATGTAGTGATCATCAGTCTTTCTCAATATGACAGGAAATCTACAACCTGGAAGAATGCAGATCAAATCATTTTTGGAGCAGTTCCATGGTCCAAGTCCAATGATTCCTGTGTCGGAAACGATGAAGCGGCGTCTGTTCATTGTCCAACAGGCGGAGATAAGAAGTGCTAAGCGTTCCTTCTCATCGAGAGTTCCCTCAATCGCTGAGATAGAGGATAATGGAAAACTAAGCTTGGGTAGTTGTTCCGATAGTATTGTTGCAAGGGCCTTCATTCGAATAGCGTATTCGGTGTGATCGTTGAAGGTCCAATTGCCACAAGAGATCGTTCTACAGAATGCTCCTTGCTCTCGTAGGGAGGGTCTTCTCTTAGAGACAACGATACTCCACCATTCTTGTAGAACTTTCAGACCCCTATGATTGTTATCTCTAGAGTTTAATTCTCTTCTGAAGGACAAGCCGGTTTTTTGGACTCTCCCTAAAATGACACCAGTAGTTCTCAAAACATATCCATCTTGAAGAAATTGCACATTAGCATAATTATCACCGGAAGCCATGAACTGAGGTTCGCTATGTTGAAGTCCGATTATTGTGGGCTGGCGGCTTTGGGGAGGTCTTGTCCAGTTCGGTACCCATGAAGGAAGACCGTCATTGTCGGGCGTTGTTTGGTTTCTTTGATTGACACATATAACATCCAGTCTTCGAGAATCCTGAATTATATGTCTCGCAGTGTGTGTATATACCCGTCGAATTGACAATGAATAATTAATTTTACCAAAGGACTCCCGTGAGTTCGATATCCCTACCAATGCGTACACTTTATCTTTTGGATCTGACGACTTCTTACTCTTGTGAGAAAGCAAAAGCTCAAAAAGAGGAGAGCTGACCGCATCAGGGACCTGATCTCTTGATACTTGCAAGCTCTTTGGCCCCCCAGTGGTGAGAGTTCGTACATATGATGGTGATTTTAAGTAGATAGACAACAGTAAGTGTTCTTCTCTTTTTAAAATATCGCAGGTGTTACAAAGCTCCATTATAGGTATACTCTCGTCCCCGCATAGTACAATTGCTTCTTTGGCACAGGCGACTTCTTGGATGACCCATATCCTCCACCAATATTGCCGACGAAAAAGAGTTATTAAAGCCATCAATTGATCCTGTGTTGACGGGTCACGGAGCATTTTTATCACTTGATTCCTTGAAGCCTTGTTCATTTTTTTAGCCAGTCGGATTGCTAAAGAACTATTATCCTTCTCGGAACCAATCCAAACAGGTACAGATTGTGCGTTTTGAAAAATGGTTTTCATCTTAGCTATTTGATTATTTCGCTCTGGTATATTGTTCTGGTCAATACAGATGGCATCAACCCACAGAAAGCTTTCGTCATTTTCTCTCCAAGATCGTAATCTCCTCAAAGCTCCAATGAGATTGTTGGATGCGGAAAGGCGTTTTCCGTTAACAATTATTGACTCTGAGGAAATTTTGGCCCCCCAAGTATACGAAAGTGCTCGATAGGTGGGAGCTCTGTGCAAAGCTGTGTGAATGAGCCGACAGCAAATAACATCATCCTTCGAAATTGGGGGAAGAAGTCGTAGTAACCGGATCTCATCTAGGTCATGTTTCAATTCCTTATATTGGAATGGGTCAATTGGTTGATTCATCTGTGTGATACTATGTTGTTGTGTAAGGACGAGAATGATCTTGTTTGGTTGAGTGTGTAGCCAAGGAGATCGGTGAAAAAAGTCTGCCAGTGCCGAAGAGGAAGTCTTATGACACTATTGATAAGCCACACAAACAGCTTGATCAATCCTCTGTCACTACCTGGAACTGGAAACTTATATCAGAGCTTTCATCTTGTTGCTATTTGATCGATGCGCGACAACTCCAGCATAATAACCATAGCAACGGCTAGCCAAGGATGACAGAAAGTGGGGGTTTGTAGGATCCATGGATAACCTTATCTTAAGCTCACCGTTGATTTACAACTCTTTTCAGACCTCTAAGAAAGTTACACCCGGTTAAAGGACAGATTGGATCCCTCCGAATTTTCTATCGACCTCGTGACTATTAACTTCTGGATGTGATACGATTGCCAATGTGATGATCTTGAGAAATACCTACAAGATACAACAGACCGGCTATGGGTTGGCGACCCAAATATTCCATCCATATCCATACTCGTAGTTTGGATGAGAGTATATGAGGAACCTTGGAATATGTATATAAATCCGGAAACTTCACCATATTTGCAGATGCACGCGAAATGGTACATTGACATATAAGGTACACGTTCATATTTTGGACCATTCCACTCGAGTCAAAGTTTCCCTATTTTACCGCCTCGCCGGCTCATTCCCTTCCCAAGGTAATGCTCATTTCACTGTCAAACCAAGTCGCTTGTCGATCAACTTTTACCTTGGGAGGGTAGGTGAGTAAATCATGGATGGCATTTTGTCAAAATCACGCATTTATTAGTCCAGTTGTGCAACCATGATGAAGTAATAAACACTTGTCGTTCTAGACTAAAAGTCAATGACGTTGTTGAGATATCCCCGCATCGGCGCATCCCCACTACTCGTACTTTGTTCGCATTCTTCACTTCACTTCACTTCACTTCACCTCTCCTCTCCTCTCCTCTCCTCTCCTCACCTCTCCTCCCCTCTCCATTTCCATCAAAGTCCACATTTCAAATCTCAAAGGTCTCCAGTCTATTCCAATTATTCAGAGTATTATCAAGGATAAATCCAAAATGTCTTCCAATTTCTATCTCGAAGGTACCCCCGATGAAGTCAAAAATGCGAAGGTTAGTTACTATCGGCTTGCCTGCCAAAATATACAGCTGACTGAGATAATGAAGGGACTTCATCTTGTAACAATGTCAACTCCTAATGGCAAAAAAGTTCAGATTATGCTCGAGGAGTTAAAGGCGGCATATGGCACCGAATGTATGAGTGCCATCTAGAATCAAGCGTACAGAGTCTTGCTAACCAAGTTAGACACTCACACTCTCATTAATATCTCAACTAATGAGCAAAAGAAAGACTGGTTCTTGAAGTTAAACCCGAATGGTATGTTATGATAGGAAGCTGTGTGGGAGTTCAATGCTGATTAGTATCTTGCAGGTCGGATTCCTATTCTGATCGATAACACCAAGACTCCTCCATTTCCTGTTATGGAGACCAGTGCAGAATTGCTTTATCTCTTGAAAGAGTTCGACAGCAAGGATATTTTTGGATTCAAGGACGAGTTGGAGAGAAATGAGTGCCTTCAATGGCTATTCTTCTGGCATGGTAGTGTAAGGTCTTCGTCGCCCTGAAAGTACTTCCCAGCTAACAGTTTGATAGGGTGCCCCGGTAAGTCTGAGCATAGAGACGTCATTTATACCATTGTTATTCTATGGAGGGTTCCTAAACTCTCCACATTCTCTAGAAATTTCATCTAAAGTCATGATGTTTTAGCATTACTAATGACTTCAATTTGTAGTACCAAGGCCAAACGAACTATTTTTCCAAGGTTGCGAAAGGAAAGAGTCCAGGTTAGTAGCTATTCAAACTTATGCAGAGCATTTAACTAAGACCAATGGATATATAGAAGCTTTAGAGAGATTCAAGAACGAGACCCTGCGCGTATTTGGGGTGCTCGAGATTCGCTTGTCAGGCAAATATACGGGTGAGCCTCGTGACTACTTGGCTGGCAATGGGAAAGGAAAGTATTCCGTTGCAGATATTGGAACTTGGCGTAAGTTTTCTCGATAATCTCTATGGGCCTTTAGTTGACAATGAATTTCAGCATGGGTGAGTGCATGGGACTTCTCTGGTGCATTCACAAAGGAAGATATGGATGCATTCCCGCATGTATTGAAGTGGATTGATAGGATTGCTGAGGTTAGTAATACCTGTTTTAATGACGACTCTTACTGACAACATCAGCGACCCGCCGTTCAAAGTGGAACAGCCAAAAGATGGCAAAATTGATGAATTTAGTTGTCCAAATAATAGTGGTTAGGTCATTCACAATTGTCATGCACTTGCAACAGCAGAGGTACCTAGCTCTATGCAGTTATTAGAGTGAATTGGGAAATCTAAATGAACAACCACTATTGCTTCAACCTTCACCCGTAGGTATATTGTGACCTTCTATCTCAGGGCTCTGGCCTAATCAAGGGATTTTTTATCGTCGTTCATTGAAAATGTGTTCCTTTAAACTTTGGTATTCAAGTTCTCATTCTGTATGATGAACCTCATTGTCACACCTGAGAACATAACTTCTGGATGCGTTGCCTGCTTACAAACACTCCTTCATCGCCTAGCCATCTGAGTAATCGAGATATTGGAGAATGTAATTCTAGACGTGAATGATTTTGGTGCAAATGAATCAATTGGCTATGTACTTGCCCGTTTACTAGCGTTTCAACGACCTACATAAAGCTCGGCTTCCGGCAGAATTCTTTCTTTTCCTGCAACAACAAACGGCAAACCAAATGTATTCCCAGGATGGGACTCCTGTAATTTCTTTGTGTCACTTTCTGCTGTGCAGGTGTGTTTTAACTTTGTCTACTTTTCAAAGGTGCTTTCCATGCAATTGTCGATGATGCTTATTATTTGCTGCAGTTTTTTTGCTTTTACTTTTTCTTGTGTGTGTTTGTTGTCAAATATGCTAATCATTATCTTTGTCAGAGCATTAATTTGCAGTCATACCCAGGTGCTTTCCTTCATAAAGAGAGAAAGTGTCCCCTCCCAAAATAGGGTAGATACACTCTTGTATCTAGAATTTGGCAGCAACGAGAAACTACTGCTGTCTCTGGACGTGAATTTAAGCTCTTTTCTTCCGCGGCACAACTTTATGAGCAGCAACTGCTGAATTTAGCAGCAAGAGTAATAACTTTCGGATATTTCATTCTCAACACAACTGCAGGAAGAATCTTTATTAGCTTGAACTTATAAAACGATCCTAATTTCACTATTGGGTGGGTAGGCACAGAAACCCTTCCTGTCCCGAAATTACACCAAAATAAATCTGTGAAAATTCACCATTTCTCCCCCCTCATTTCTCCACCCTCGAATCGGATATTCAATTAGCTATTCCAAGGTTATATCAATCAATATTTATTTTCAGAAGAATTTATACTTTCCGCCCTCTTTCCTTTTCAAATTTGAAAGACAATCAACCACTCATCTTTATGGACAGAAACACACATATCCAACTCATCGAACTTAAGTCATCAATGGACATCACCGCCCCTCACACACTCCCACTGGCAGAGGTCAGCCATTTTGAAGAATGGTTTAGAGTAGCTATGACGTGGAAAACGGGAAAGGTAAGGAACTTTTAGCTTGCCTTGTACGACAATCTCCATTAACCAGTGCTTTTATTGCAGATTTACAGATGTGTATCCCCAGCCAAAGAAAAAAAGTTCGATGGGAGCAAGGGAGAACTGGTAGGACTCTTAACACCGCCGGCTTCTCCCTTGAAGCCAAAGTCTCCATCTTTCTTGGACTCTCCAGTGTCGACCCGAAAAAGCTCGATCACATCTTCTCTGGTCTCACCTGTCTCTGAATCATCGTCGTTGGCCCCACTGTGCCTGACGCCACCAATGGTAGTTACACTGCCCGATTCAAATTTAGAAATTGATTCAAAGTCTACTTTATTACAGGCAGCTGATCTCCCCGCTTGTCCCAACTCGGAACCACGCATACTTACCCCTCCTTCTCCTCCTCCAGAGAAAGCGCCAGTATTCGAGAACGAGTTCTACGAAGTCAAAACTTCCCCAAAGGGCGGTCTAGGTTGTTTTGCCAAAGTGGATATTGAGTCTGGAACTATGATTCATTCCGAGGAACCTTTGTTCTTATCTTCAATGGTGCAAATCTACTACAACTTTGAACAGTTGACAGCGGAAAAACAAGCCGCCTATCTGAAGTTGCATTATTGGCATGGTCTTGCTGCTCACAAGATTCTTGCAATTTTTCAGACTAATCGGTACGTGTATCCATCCACCTCAACTATTTAACTGTTATAGGCCGGCTCAAAGCGTGTGAGAAAATTGCATCACTGACCCATCTTGTCCATAGTTTTCATGTACCCGGCGGCAAATCTGGGATCTTCCTGAATTCTTCTCGTTTTAATCACGCCTGTCCTGGTTTCTGCAATTGCACTTATGGGTTTCGTAAAGATATCAATAAAATGGTATTCACAACCCTCAGTGACATATCAAAGGGTCAAGAAATCACAATTTCTTATGCTAATGTACCCACTAATTTGTATCAAAACTACGGATTCTTTTGCGATTGTCCAGGATGTCCTCCAGGGAGTTTCGCGTCTAAAAAATGGGAATATGAGAATGATCTGAGAAGACAGGCGGAGAAGCCAATTGACAACACGGTCGATCTCGAGCCGGAACCGTATCCAGGGAATGAAGTTGAGGAGTGGGAGAGTGCGATGTTTGAGTGGTAGATTGGGGGAGTGAAAGGAGGGAGAGTATGAAAGGGGGAGAGACACTGGGTTGTTGATGGATGTCCGAGGAGGATTTATGACGTGGGAGAAAAGCATTTTTATTCATTGCTTCAGCGGGAGATACCAAGTTGTTGGATAAGTTACCATGGGAGAGCTTGAAGATATGCACTTGACATAGCGCTGGATGTTATTAGTCTTGGGGTTGCTACTGAAGTCCGAAATGGACGTTAAACTATACCGTCTACTAATTAAGGGGAATGTCGGGGATGGAGCAGCGATTGGTTGTCTTTGAATGATTGGAAGATTTGTCATTTTGAACATAGAAGTTTGGAAGACTCACAACTATTTATGAAACGTTTTCTCTCAAAGACCAAATAATCTTCTGTGGTGCCACGAGAGAAACAATATCTAGAACTTGAAATCCAAATAAAGATTGTGGGTTTCTGTCTGTAGCAAACATAATAAAAGCAGTAAAAGCATAGACTCATGTCAAAGTCAATAGTCCGTAGCAAATACAGATGTTAGATTCTCGGAGCATCTCGCTCCAGAAAAACTATGCTTATATATCTCCCAGCTCCTCCCTCAACGTACAGCTTTCTCAAACTCATTCCTCTCTTTCATTTCATCACACTCATCACACTCATCACACTCATATAAAACACACAGTACACCCACCAAAATGAAAAAAAACCAACCTTCAACCTCCTAGTCGCAAGTAGAGTAGGTCGCAAAGGCGACTTTGTATCGCCGTTAGCATCTCCATCTGAGAAAAATCCTCCTTTGGATTGTCGTGTGCGAAGATTGGGGAAGATCAAGGGTAGGGTTGAGGAGAAAAGGATGGGGGAGGAGGTGGGGAGGGAGGTTCGGAAGGGGGGTGGGGAGGTTGGGAAGGAGAGGGAGGTTGGGGGGGAATTTGGGAGGGAGGGGGAGAGGGAAAGGGAATGAGGAGGAGGAGGAGGAGGAGGAGGAGGAGGAGGAGGAGGAGGAGGAGGAGGAGGAGGAGGAGGAGGAGGAGGAGGAGGAGGAGGTGGTGGTGGTAAAGGAGATTGATGCGTGAGTGAGTGAAAAGAGGGGAGCGCTGAAGTGATAAGGTAGAGAGAAAAGTATTGATTTGTGAACAGAATTTAGGGAAGAATAATAATAAAGATGAAAATTTAAAGCCAAAGAAGAATTAAAGTAGTCGTGGATTGTATAATTATATTGATAATGTGAACTTTGGTAATTTAATCAGGATCAAGATCACCACATAAACTTGTAATCAAAACAAAAAACACGAGACTGGTTAATTTTCGAGTCGGCAGCCGCTGGTCTGTGAAGAAAAGAAACATGATATACGGGACTGGTGTGAAACTACAAAGTTGAACAGGCCATATTTGAAGAGAACGAAAGGTTGAGAATTTGGAAGATAGACAGACGGAGAATTAGTATGAGAAATTTGAATACATGATTGGAAATGAGGGAAGTTGTCAAGGTGAGTGTTCTCGGCTCAGTACCTGGTTATGAAGGCAATAATTAACACAGGAGGTGAATAACAACCATCACAAGCACGCAACGACCCACCACCCAACTCACACTTCACTCTCACCTCATATTCTCCCTAAACTCTCATCGCAACTCTCATCTCAACTCATGACTCTATCCACTATGCTCCACTTAAAAGTCCATAGCCCTCCTCCAAAAATATCACATCCATCCATCCATACCCCAATACCCCCACAAGATTCTCCCTAACAATGAAACCTCAAAGAAATCCCTTACCCGCACTTCCTCCCAACCGCCAAAACGGCAAAAGCTTAAGAGCGCGACGCTCTTTAACCCCAATGACCCACCATCGGATATGTTATCCTTGCGATAATCCATATATCTGATCGTGTCACTGTCCGATCGAAGCCCTGACAATGCTAAGTAGAAAGGCGGACAACATTCTCGAGAATGATGAATTCTACCGCTGCGCCATCGAGACGTGTGGGTGCTTGTTGGTTGCTCGCGTAGTCGGATATATATTGGAGGGCTGGGAGTGGTTTCGCTTGTATTGTAGGTGTAGGTTTGTGCGATGAACTTGTTTGGCTGAAAAGCTTTGTGATCTTTTATAGAATTACGGAAGTTGATATGGGGAATTTGATCGCTGGTGATCTCAATGACTCGTATATGGACTTCTGTGTGCGTTTCTTTGATATCGTACTGTATATCATCTCGAAGTTGACAATGACTGATGTAACGTGGTTTAATGTCTAACTGGTAGACATCCATTTACACATTTACTTGTTAAGGAGTTTCTCGCTGCATATAGCGATGACTCTTCAAATCGCGCGAACGGCGAGTTTTTCCCTATTTATCACATTTCCCCCACCATTGTGGATTGCCTGGAGCAACTTGCACTCGCGGAGTCTTCGCACAATTGATCCTCCCGCATATGATTGATAGTCTCTCTCAAAATCATCTGTTCCTCCGAAGTTCAAACTTCGTTTTCCTCTTCTCCATTTTTCACATTGCCCTCCGACTTCCCAGCATCTTTCCTCCTATTTCTATCCTTTGCTTTGCCCTTAATCTTTGCACTAACCGCCTCATGTTTGTTCTTCCACATCCCTCCATATCTATACTCTGGATGTTTGCCATCGCCATCTACTTTCCCTCCACTGACATCCTTCCAACATTTACCCGTACATACGAAATGCCATTTTTTCGTTTCATCAATCTGGCATCGTATCAGTACATCGCGAGGTGTGTGGCATATAGTACAGGGCTTGCTATGTGGCGACGGGGAAGTAGACGGCGAGTTTAAGTTTGCAGATGAGACTGTGTAGTCTCCGGTATTGATGTTGGAAGTATGCTTTTGAGGAATTGAATCTTGATCTTCCCTATTCGTATTCGTATACGCGGCTTGATCTTCCGGCATTGTTATAACCTTGATTTCAAACGATACGGTGTTATGTGATGTGATGTGATATGAATAGAATCCTGGTGTTTTTCAACATCATGAGTTCTCCAAAAGTCGAGAGTTCGGAAGTCAATGCCGAAGCTTTCCCCATATTTGTGGCTGTGACTGTGCATATATTGCTGCTGCTATAACAGTACACTGTCGAGTTTGGGGATGGAATTGGAGTATTCGTGAGGATTGTCCTAGAGCTTTACAAAAGGCAGCATTACCTTAGCCACACTCAGCCATAGGAAATCTACGTCATCTTGACTCCAATTTATAGAGTTTAGTCCATCATCCATGCGACCGGTCTTGCCAAGATTTGGAGTATTGTCTTTGTTGGGGGGAGAGAAAAAGTATATAACGAGGCCGTTTTCATTTACTTCACGGATATTAATACTCTTGATTATAAGAATTAATAAGTGCATTGAACACTTTCGTACATTCACCAATCGAAACATCATCTCCAATACCCGCTTATATCAATCAATCCGACCCAATTCCAATACTAAAGACATAATGGCTGCATCATCTTCCGTAAGTATAGTTTCTCTCATCTTGCGTCAGGAATTGTCGAAATCTTGCTAAAGATTTTGATTATCACAGGCGGACGTATTTGCATACATTGTTGCAATCTTCATCCCTCCTCTGGCCGTCTTCTTGAAGACTGCATGTGGAGTCGACTTTCTTATCAATATCTGCTTGACCATCCTTGGTTGGATTCCAGGTGTTATCCGTAAGTTCACGTCCATGTCTCATGCTATGCACTTGTCGATATACTTATAGTCTTATAGATGCCTGGTATGTTATCTCAAAACATGACCCAGCGAAATATGCTCCATAAGAAAGGGGTATTATAGGGGGGAATGCTAGTGACGATTGGTGATGATACCTTGGGAGTGGGTATATCTAGGAGGGTTTGGCGTTCAAGGTTGAAGGGAATCTCATCGACGGTTCATTCTGAGATGAGGATGTCCAAGGAGTAATATGTTGTTTTTATACCATTTAGGAGTTCTTCGAATTGATCAATCATACCACAATAATAAGCATACTATACACACTTGTACATACTCGTACAACCCATTTGCATCTTCTCGAATCTATACCGCCTTGCTCTCCAACATGCCCAAATGATTGTGTCCATGCTTGGAAATTCGATAGATCCTTCTGGATACCTACTAGGTATGTATCTCCTATCTAAGCCCTACAGAGATAGTAAGATCGGATAAACCGGAAGTCATCAGTCCACTAAGTTGAAACCGATTGATAATATTTGGTAATTATTCGAGGGCGGAGACACCATTATTTCTTGGACGGTTGGTAGGGTTGGGATTTTTGATGATATATAATATCGCATATTCGTCAGTTGAATATAATACGTAATATTAGTCAAATCGCATTATATATATGACTAATCATAAAATCCTATAAAATCCTATAAAAATCCTATAGAAGGCTATTTTGAAGCTATTTTGGAGCTAGTTTGAAAAGAAAATAATTAGTATATAAATCACATGATTAGCAAATAAATAGCACCTGACTTTTAGGTCTAATTATATACTAAATTGAAAATTACAACCCATCAAAAACTTTTTCTAAAAACGACCCACTTTCATTCATCCTGATGATTTTATTGGTCCAAAAAACACGTGTATAAGCTTGGCATAATATTTTATATGCCTCAAAAAGTGTGATAATATGAAATTATATAATCAACCCTAAGAATATGTAATTTGCCCATCCCTAACGGTTGGACAATTCGAATCTAACACGACTATTTACGGATATTTGGTAATAGAACTCTTGGAATGATGGATGTCAAGAAATTTAAGCAAAGAACGGTCCGAAAAAGATGTCAAGCACAGTTAAGCATACTAGATAGGTAGCCAAGCGAAGGACCCTTTACTTCATCCAAGAACATATAAATAAATGTCATCCCCTCCATCTACTACCAGGTACACTTTCTCACCTACGATAATTCCCCTTTTAAAAAAATCACCACCTTTTCACACAGGAGTTCGACCGATTTATGCTACATTGTTTGTATTCAATCCCTCTCTTCATTTTCGAGGTTTGTAAATGATTTGACATTTATTCTCATCGCCTCAGCTCTAAGGTATTTATTATACTCGTGGTCACTGCTTTGGGGTGTCATGGTTACAGTGTACAGCTCGGCGCACATCGCCATTCCTTCAATGGGAATTGGAGAATGACAGCAAATTGCTCGGACGAGTAGCCCGATGGTTGAGAGAATCATTGCTGGCTCACTCATACACTTTCGGCTGCTCCGTGTTTCAACGGTTAAAAGGCCTGATTGTATCTTAGCAGAAGTAATGGAATAACTCATCTTTTCTCAAAAGCCGGTTTGTTCAAATTGCTGTCGCCAAGCTTGTCGGCTGGGTGCTTGGCAGCTGTGGTGTCAAAAATGCCTTGAATTGACTCTCCTAATTTTTGAGGGATTATTCACGCTGCAATCTTATTTACTTCAATTTCACCGCCAGAATCTTGTTTTTTGAATAATGAATAGCGCATCGTGTCTTTTGAGGTCTGGACCCAATTAATCTCGCAGGAACGAACGAACATTCAAGAAAATCATAACAACCTCTTACAGAGAACGAAAGACGGCAACGACGACCTACAATCTCCAAGTCATTCCGTCCACCTTCCACATCTAAATCTCCCATCATGGCTCGAACAGCCCGACCAGCTCATAGACGCAAACACCATACAACCAGCAGTTCGACGGCGCCAAAGGAAGATATCGAAATGGCTTCATCACCGCAAGTTCACGGCCGCGGCCACGGCCACGTTGCGGAGGTTTCAGTCGAAACTAGTAATGGACATTCGACGACCGCACATCATAACTTATCAGAAACTCTTCACCACATGCTACCTACACATAGAGTCAATCACAAGGGTTACAAAGTTACAAAGGGTATTCAGCCTGATGGAGAAAGTGGTAGACGCGGTATACACCCTTTCCATTTCTTCAAGATATGCTGGACTTCGACCAGTGATGCTTCTCGACTTGTCAACATTCTCTGGCCCGTTGTGCCTGCCGCACTCGCCGTTCGATATGCTAGGCCAGATCTCCATCTGGTGGTTTTTATCCTCAATTACATCGCGATGGTGCCCTGTGCGAATTTGATTGGCTTCGCCGGACAGGAGCTGGCGAGGAAACTCCCAAAGGTGTTTGGCATATTGTTGGAAACGACACTTGGAAGTCTTGTGGAGATGATTCTTTTCATAGTCCTTCTAACAAGGTCAGGAAGTACCATGCTATCCTATGTTTACAATTACTAACCCGCTCAAACAGAGATGAATATGGGGTCATTCAAGCTGCGATTTTAGGCTCAATGCTAGCTACCCTACTGTTATGTTTAGGGATGTGCTTCTTTGTTGGTGGTTTGACACGAGATGGTAGGCTCAATTCCTCGTATACTTTGGTATCTGTTGCTAAATCACATTTTAGAACAGGAATTCGACGAAGCTGTTAGTGAAGTTGGAAGTGGATTGTTGTTGACGGCGTAAGAGACATTCTCATAGACAATTTACTCATCGCTGACTTTACAACAGTGGACTTGGCCTTATTATACCCTCGGCATTCGCAACGGCCTTGTCATTGAAAACCTCTGCGGAACTCACCCCTGCCGTTATTGCAGAAAAGGTCCTCAACATATCTCGCATCACATCTGTACTTCTCATAATTGCTTATGCTACCTACGTCTTTTTCCAGATGCGAACTCATCACAGCATATACGATGCTATTCTAGAAGCAGATGAACAAAAGGACGAGGATCGCCATAGAGATTTGCAAAAAGACAAGCTTACCTTCACTGAGTGTGTTATTGCTCTTGCTGTCTCAATTGCTCTAGTGACTCTCATTGCCATCAGTTTGGTCGAACAGATACCAACAATTGTTGAAGAACATAACATTTCTGATGCATTTATGGGCCTTATCCTTGTTCCTCTAGTTGAAAAAGCTGCCGAGCATCTTTCTGCGGTAGATGAGGCTTACGACAATCAGATGAACTTCGCATTGTCTCATGTTCTAGGCGCAACGATTCAAACAGCATTGTTTAACGGTCCTTTGGTTGTCATCATTTCCTGGGGTTTGAATAAGGGGTTGGATCTCAACTTTGAGATGTTTGATATTGTTGTCCTGATCCTAGCTATTTTGGTCGTAGGAAATTTCTTACGAGACCAAAAGAGTAATTATCTAGAAGGAGCTCTATGCGTGATTGTTTACATCATTATCGCAGTGGCCGCTTTCTTTTATCGTAAGTAAAATTTTTGATCGTTGTAATCTTTGCGGTAGAAAACCATATTTCAGTTAAGCTAACTTGTAATTCAGCTAATCCGGAAGAACATGCTGTCGAAGGCGAGGCGACTGGTGCAGCCATAGAAGCTGTTCGTCGTCTTCTTTGATGTTATGCATGAAAATTCTGGCCAGGTGTTTGATAATATAAATCTGAACCTAGCAAGTCTTGAAAGGTCTCCGATACGTACTATTGATACCCATCATATAGTAAGATTGTCAGAATGTAGAGTTTGATGTAAATATATAGATACTCGTGCTGCCAGAAAGTATGCAACTCCGGCGCTATGAAAACCAGGTTAGTCCTCTTGTAGTTTACCATCTTGTGGTATGTGCATCTAGCGTCGGAGTTGCATACTTTCTGGCAGCACGAGTAGGTTTCACATTTTTGTCGCTTTCTAGCGATCAGTCACGAATTATACATGAAGTTTGATTTTTATTCTTTGTCCCAGCTAGCAAGGATTCTCATCGCTTTGCATTCCCGTCAAGTTTTAGACACCATGTCGCCGATTGTGATCAAGGAGATATACAATTATGACACTCAGATTTAGACACTAGCTAGCAAGGAAGCAGATGTACTCTGACCATCGACGAAAGCTTGATTGAGTTCTTCCGGTATGCCTAATGACAGGTCCATGCGATATATCCTCGCCCAAGTGGTTGGTTGTAAAACCAAGATTCGCTTATCTCTGCGGGAACTGGCTCTACGTAAGCAAAAAAACAGGCGGGAATTAATCACTATTCAAAAGACCTTCAACAACTAAGATCTCTTTTCGATATAATATTAAATAATAAAAACACTTAATTTCAATACAATGAAGATTTAAATTTTCGTTTGCTTTTTTCAAATTTCAATATTTAATTTGAAATGAATTTATAATCTATTAAAAAAGTCCTTTGAAAGAATACTCAATTTCCGCCTGTTTTTTCGCTTACGCAGAGACTGGGAAGCTTTGAGCGTAGTGGCACGCGAGCCTTTTTCTAGCTTCCTTTTAGAGCTTAAGTCAGGTCCCCCACTGATTCACCCCTCAGTACCTCGGATTAGCACTTACTTAGTTAAGAAGGCGTGAAAACCTATCGCGAGAGAATTGATAATTATTTAGGTAAACTGAAATAGTAGAGACGTTGATCAGAAAACTCCATGGGTAGCTATTGGCCGTTTATGGTAATTGGCATGGTTAATATGCTAGCAACGTCCTATCAAGGTATAATGGATGATGACATACATGATCTGAATGACAATTGCCAATGGCAAAGAAAAATATCTCGTGTTGATCAATAAGCTGTCACTACTGCTCAAGGCGCGCCCTCGGCACCAGTACTGTGCCTGGTCAAACATATAAATATGTCTAAAATCCCCTCATATCTAATATACTCTTCCGTTGTCTGATTCTCAAGTTCTTGTGCATTTGCCATTCATATCGACAAGATGCGCGGCTTGAATTCCTTAGCAGTTTTGCTTGCTGCCTCTGTTACTTCAGTGGTAGCTATTTTGCCACATCACGAAGCCCATGCAAAATATGCAAAAAGAGCACAGCCAAAGAAGGTTCTCCCGAGGCAACCTGCAGTGAAGCCAAGATCAATCTCGAAGTATTTGACAAATTCAACGGCTTGTAAGTCAATTTCCATTTCATGCTATACGTTATCCTAGGGGGGTGTTGTCTGGCCAGAATGTGTATTGATTTCAATTCTAGCTTTTGCCGTCAATGGAACCGGACTACCCGAGATCGACTTCGATCTTGGTGAATCATATGCCGGAACTTTACCCATCAGCACCAATGCTAGCGACACAAATCGATTGTGGTTTTGGTTTTTCCCATCCGAAAACCCTTTGGCGGAAAAGGAGATCACAATATGGTTAAATGGCGGTGTAAGTTTATATACCCAAGATCTTCATCTCCCATTCTAAAAGACATTACTAAATATGTCTCTAGCCAGGGTGCTCATCTCTTGACGGACTGTTTCAAGAAAACGGACCTTTCAGTTGGCAATCTGGCACATATGCACCTATTCCAAATCCATACTCATGGACCAACTTGACCAACATGATCTGGATCGATCAACCCGTCAGCACTGGATACTCGCCTGGAGATATCCTTGTTGACGATGAGATCGATGTTGGAAACCAATTTGCCGCATTCTGGAAGAATTTCATTGATACCTTTAGCATGCAAGGCTACAAGATTTACATCACTGGCGAGAGTTATGCTGGGCAATATATTCCATATATTGCTAGTAACTTCTTGGACCGCAACGATACCACATACTACAACTTGAAGGGTATTCAGGTGTGTAGCCATGAAAATGAATCAATGACGATGTTGTGTGCTAACCAGATGCTAGATCAATGATCCCTCGATCAACGATTTCGATACAATGGGTTCGGCCCCTGTTACAGCTGCAGCTCTATACTATCAGAACGTCCTTAACCTCAACGATACTTACATTGCAAACATTACTGCACGAGCAAAGTCTTGCGGTTACACCGACTTTCTCGAATATGCATCAGTATTCCCTCCCGCAGGACCAATCCCAACAGCTCCAAGTTCAGGAGAATATGGCTGTGACCTTTACGATGACATTTACAACGCAGTCTACTACGTCAATCCATGTTTCAATATCTACCATCTCACAGATTACTGTCCATTCTTATGGGATGAACTCGGATTCCCATCTCTCGGTGGAGGTCCCAACAACTACTTCAACCGTACCGATGTCAAAGAAGCTCTCCATGCGCCAGTCGATGTTGATTACTTCATCTGCTCTGGTGGACCCAATTTATTCCCACATGGAGATAAATCCATTGATTCTGCCCTCGGTCCTCTCCCCTCTGTCATCGAACGCACAAACAACGTTCTCATCGGCCACGGACTTCTCGATTTCCTCCTGTTCGCCAACGGTTCTCTAATCACCATCCAAAACATGACCTGGAATGGTCTCCAAGGATTTCAAGAGGCTCCTTCTTCGACCCAAAACTTCTACGTTCCATACCATGAATCCCTTGGTACCATTCTCTCTATTGTGAACGATGCGATTCCCAACGCACCTCCGCAATATGATACTGCAGGTGCGGGATACCAGGGAACTTGGCACACGGAAAGAGGACTTACGTTCTCGACAGTCAACTTGGCGGGTCACCAGATTCCTCAATATACTCCCGGAGCAGGATATAGACATTTGGAGTTCTTGTTGGGGAGAATTGCTAATTTGAGCGTGGTGGGTGATTATACGACACAGACGGGAAATTTCACGGGGGTTAGTGCGCCGTTGAAGATGAGGGGGTTGTATTGAGGCAATGATATAATGAAATAATAGATATGGAAAAGTTAGGGATATTAATGTGGGTAGTATATTCGCACTTGTACAGGAAGTCTACTGACACGACGCTGAGAAATACAAACGAATGTCACAGATAGATATCGTAATACATTATTAGCATCTAGATGATAATGCAAATTGGTTCCTCGACAACCTGAATTCTCATTCTACACTTAAAATTGATATCATACGAAGATAGCAACAAGGTTTTCTAGTCTTCGGCCTTGGATCTACAATGGAAAACTTTAACCTTAAAATGACCATCTCTTATTCCTCATTGTCGCTTTATCAAGACATCTCTCCTCGTCCTATCCCTTCTTTTCTCATTATCATCTTCCCCATGCCTCCAAAACAAATCTAACGGCTCAAAAAAGTTTGCAAGCCTCACTACTAACAGACACAGTCGCTGACTAGGTATATCTTTATGGTGCCTAGACATCCGTTATCACAATCTCAGATGGCAGATATCTGATACGCTGAAAGGTAATCAACTCCCCATGAAACTGTACTGTCTGTATACGTGATTAGAAACCAAGCACCCAGATAATCTGCTCAAAGTTATCAATAAAATAGCACTTAGCAATGGAAAGAAGAGCCAGGGCATCACATCGAAGTACCTATGTACTCGTAATAGGCAGTACATGGGTGCGAGCGGAACTGGGATGAAATGGGACGGAGAAGGGCTCGAGCGGATACAGTTTCTGGCCGTTGCCCGTTCACCCCGCTTGCTCGTATATTATGCTCCGTTCACTCGACCTCTCAATGGGTGTTGTCAAGGCGAGGAATGATAAGTTTATTGGAGATGGGGATTCATCCATACTGTTGAGACTTTGAGGGTAATGTTGGGCTTTGGTCTCTTTGATTGCATTCCTTACTGATTGCATATGTGGAGTTGGAATTTGTGAGTCAATAACTGGAAGGTTATGAACTCATTATCAATGAATGTATCTCTCTACCATTCTTTTGCAAGAACTATTTGCATGTGAATAGGTAGGTAGGTAGGAAAAGTAGATACACAAATGCGTAATGCGCCACAAGCGCCACACTTCACATTCATCATTGCTCCCCGGCCAGCTTTAACTTTATGATTGACATGTGAGCCAAATAATAAAAATACCTAGGCAGGAATCGTCGAATGTCCCAACACAAGGACGATCCAACGGCACAGCTTTGACGATATCCATAAATTCTGAGCTGTTCAATCCTCCTCGACATATTCTGTTGAGTTGCCCTAAGAAATTCCTCCATGACCTCCCAGTCGAACCTTCAATATTCTCTTTCGATACTTGTATTGCACCAAGTGTTCGATACTCCCAATCCACCATGATTAACAATTCATGGGCCGAGTATGTCTTTATCCGCATTTGTATTTTCGCGCTGCAGAGTATACCACTTGTTAGTTTAGCATATTGTTTCAGTCTCGCATCTACTACTTTCTTTACGAATTATGAATTTTACAGAGTCTCGCGCGGTTTAGAATGGGTGTTCCTGGCCGAATCTTTCTTTTTTCTCTTTTGCTTCCTGCCGTATCGCATTTGGCTTCAACAAGAAGCTATACATCCGCCGGCACCTTCGCGAGAAGAGAGAGCGATTTTATATCAGAGGTGTTCGGATAATATTACGGATCCGGAGGCGTATTTGCAGAAATGGTTTTTGGGTGCGGATATTCGGGATATTAGGAAGGAGAATGTAAAGGAGTTCTTTCTTTGGGCTTTCTTTAATCGTGGTGGACCGCCTGGGGATGATGATGAGGAGTTGGAGGAATACATTGGGATTTTGGAGAGGCAGCTAGGGAGGGAGATTCCGGAGGGAAGGGGAAATGCTAAGTGTTTGAGGTTGACCTTGGATGAGGTTGTTATGTCGCATAGGAGTTTGATTTGGTATTGTGTAAGTATTCTTAATCTTCATGTGTTGATAATAGAAGATGCTAATCTTATTCACCACAGTGTGTCGGATTTGTTGACTTCCTAACATTTTGTTCCCTGCGTTATCACGGCTTCAACTTTTATCGCACGAATCTCAAACAATCCCTTAGCATCATTCCCGTTCGCCCGCACAGTCTATTCACTACGTATCATTCGCCCGCTCAGCATATATCGTATTGGCACCGACCGCACACTTCGAAAACCAAACTCCCAGTCGTTTTCATCCATGGCATCGGCATCGGTCTATATCCCTATACCCAATTCCTCAATGAACTCAATGCCTCCACCGGCACACCCGATGATCACATTGGCATTCTTGCTCTTGAAATAATGAACATTAGTTTCCGTCTCACTCATTCTGCCCTCTCGCGTGAGGAAACCGCTCTCGAAATTTCCCAAATAACCAGTCAGCATTTTGGGCCAAATCAGAAATTCGTCCTGATTTCTCACTCGTACGGTACGGTGGTGACCACGCACCTTCTGCAATCTCCAATTTTATCCTCGCGCATCGGCCCAATTGTTCTCATCGATCCTGTCTCTATCTGCCTACATTTACCTTCTGTCGCATTTAATTTCACTCGTCGAATCCCGAAAGATGCGAATGAATATCAATTGTACTATTTCGCAAGCATGGATCCAGGAGTTAGTCATACATTGGGAAGGAAATTCTTCTGGAATGAGAATGTGCTATGGAAGGAGGATTTCGAGGGGAGGAAAGTTACGGCAAGTTTGGCGGGAAGAGATTTGATTGTGGACACGGAGGCAGTGGGGAGGTACTTGAGTTGTGGAAACTTATCCGGTCGATCGACTCCGAGTCTGAAGGCTACGAATGGAAATGCTAATGGGACAGTCAAGAGTACTTCGAATATGAATGTCGCGCCTTTGATAGATATTGACGAGTCGGAAGCTGGAGAAGCGGAAAGACCCGTAGATGGAGAAGTAATACGAGAAGATAACGTGGATGTAGAAGATGAGGACGAGTGGAAGTATAGGGAGTGGAAGGGAGTAGGAACAGAAGTTTTATGGTTTGGCACGTTGGATCACGCGCAGGTTTTTGATAAGAAGACGACCAGGAGGAGAATTATTGATGTTGTGAGGAAATACTGCGAGGACGATTAGAAAAAGGGGGTAGGGGTAATGCAGGAAATCTGTCTGCGATTCGGGGAGTTTCGATGAGTAGAGAACAAGGGGGATTAGATTCGATTAGATATCGAAGACTTAGACAGAAGAGGCGTATAACATAGTGGAGTGGGAGGAGAAATAGACATGGAGTAATTCGACTATAGTCCTCCAAAGACCTTTAATTCTCGTCGAATACCTAAGAACTATACCAAGGACAAGAATGATAATGAAACGCATGCTTCTTCGCTCAAATGCGGCACACAATGAACAAAGTGAATCACGCATCAAGATTGAATAGAACTACCTAGGTATTCTCGTATTCAAACCCCCAATTGATAAGCTATACAATTTCAGAGTCCCCATCCAGATTTATCTTACTATTACAACCTCAAGAAAAAATCAAAATACTCTTCTGCTTGCCAAAAGGCGTGTGTAGTTTCATGTCTTGGATATGGAATTCTTCAAGGTATCTGGTTCATTTGGTCTATACTAAGTCTGTATCAAGGTAACATCTTTCGAATCTCCCCTCACTCTACTTTCCCTCGTGCAAGAGCATACATGATTACATATATTTCGCACAATTGTGAAAAGGTGACTGTAAATCTATACCTCGAAATATCTACCTACCTAACTACCTTCATATCAGCACAGCATATTTATCTAGGTACTCGTAGATATCCAACATCCAATATTATCCCCGCAAATAAGTAGCGCTATAATCTAGAACCATACCCTTCCCTTTCCTACCCCACCCTTCCCTTTCTGCATATACAGTACTCCTTTCAGCTTCCCCGCATTACCTAGCGAGCCTAGGTTCCAGATAGCAGGCGTGCCAGTTATTTATTAGCTCCTCCTCACCGGCGACACCGACGAAACGACGCAAGTACGCGGTGCGAAAATCTATCTACGGTACGGAGACTGATGAAAAGGGCTAGAACGCGGGATGCAAAGTGGAGAGTGGGTCCAGCTGAAAGAAGAGCAGCTGAATGGTAGCGTGCGCGGGTGCGACAATTTAGGTTTGGGGATACGGAGGGGGCTAGAACGCTGTGGATTTGTGTAGAGGGGAAGATGAGGGAATTTATTTCATTTTGTGTGGTTTGGTCGCTTTGGTGGCGGCGTGGAGCTGGCTGAGTTGGAAATGAGGTGGCTTTGTGGTTAATGCTGAGACGGTGGGAGTGGGATACGATGGGTGGGAATGGAGATAAATAGGAGAGTCCCAGCATCGTTAATGTTGATGATGGTTCTGCATCAATTGTCTATTCCAACATGTCGTTCATAAGTGAAAGTATCATTCCAGATTGCCGAATCAAGCCCGCCCGAAAACGCATCATAATCTGCTGCGATGGAACCTGGCAATCTGCCGTCTCTGGAAAAGAGAATTGTCCATCCAACGTAACGCGTCTCTGTCGCGCCATCAACAGCGTCGCTCGAGACCCAAAAGATGACAAAGACTGGCAACAGGTCGTTTGGTATGATTCTGGAGTTGGAACCACATCCACGGGTCTGGGACCTGGACTCGAGGGAGCTATTGGTCAGGGATTGGAAGGAAATGTGATTGAGGCGTACAATTTCTGTGTACTGAATTGGAATCCGGGAGATAAGATTATGTGTTTTGGATTCTCTCGGGGCGCGTATACGGCGAGGACGATTGCAGGCTTGATTTCGGATATTGGGATTTGTTCGAAGAGGCAGCTTCAAAATTTTCCTGATTTGTGGAAGTTGTACAAGCAGAAAAAATCCGGGGAAGACGGGTCCAGAAAAAGATTTTATGGCAGTGCTCTGTACTATAGTTGGCGAGAAGGGAGAGTTGCTGACCCGCAACCGGATCCAGAGGATCGCCCTGATAGGGGGTTAGTTTGGGATATTAAGGCTCATGGTGAATGGGCTCCTGAAGAATCAATGGAAGTAGAGGTAGTGGGAGTCTTTGATACTGTCGGAGCTTTAGGATTGCCAGAAGTTTTTGGGATGGAATTGCCCAAATGGACAACTATTGGTGATAAGCCTGAATGGCACAATGTTGAACTTTCAGCAAGTAAGTCCTTCTACTGATACAGCTGCGTTAACCAGAAAACTAATTCACATCCCAGACATCAAGCATGCATTTCAAGCGCTAGCCCTTGATGAGCACCGTGAAGCATTCACACCTACTCTTTACTACATCAAAAAGCCCGAGGATTTTACAGACGCTGAAATAGAGGCACAGCGGACCATATCTGATAATGCAAATATAGAGTGGTATGATATGGTTTCTAGTCCTGAACCTAACCTCGATAAATTGAGAGATCTGGCCAAAATCCGAGACGAAGCTACCGAAAGGGTCGTTAAGATGGAAGAAAACAATAAGATGAAGAAAGCACTGCTCACTGGTGAGAAGGTACTGGAACAAGTCTGGTTTCCTGGCTACCACATACACATTGGTGGCGGATCAAGTGATACGCTATTGAACAAGGACAATATGGAAGAAATGTCCAACATTACGTTAGCATGGATGCTAGACCAGATTGAAAAATATGTGTCGATTGACAGGGAAACCATAAAGGAAGACGGTTATGATCGTCAGGGAAGATTTGCGCAACTGAACAACGAGCGCCAAGTTCACCTAGACAGAGAAAAGGAGCGCGAGAAAGAGGGTTGGGGTCAATGGATTTGGCGAAATGGCAAATGGGCAGCTTCCAAAGTTGCTCATCCGCTGACTGACGAAAAGAACATTCACTATGAGGACCGACGACACGCGTGGGGTGTTGGAGATCTGAATGATAGTTTCACCACCATGTATAAAGCCAACGGATCGAAGCCACGCACACCAGGTCGCTATGCTCTTGATAAGAAAGGAAACAAACTGGGCGAAACACATGAATATATTCACCCAACTACGGGATTCAGAGTTCAACAGCTGGATAAGAAAGCAGAAGAAGCGAGGAAACAGAAGGATCATAGGGACCACAAGAACTGGGAAAAATTGAGATATAGACCTATCGACCTAGAGGGTGACAACTACAAACGCCAGGAGAAAGTTGATGAGCAAGGAAAAGTGACAGCATATGAGTATGTTTTCAAGTACAAAGATTGTTCCGAGACGCTCCCAGAATGGCGGTTGGGTGATGCGGATTGCTATGAGAGGCTCGCTATCGAAGGTTCTGCTGCATATGACTATGTCGATGAGCTTGATCAAACTTTGGAAACTGGTATTAAGACTGTTCGTCTTGACTTCTGGGGTGACAAAGCATCGTCGTTTCAAGTCGTCTCTAATTAATAAAGGCATAAGGGTGGCTATATTTCGGTCTGTAAGCGCTTGGTTTGTATAAATTGTATAAATTGTATATAATTTCAAAGTAGTATATTATTATTTAAGGGGACTTTCATTGATACATATATAATAAACATGATAGTCCTCGAATATAAGAAGGTAATAAATGCGAGACAGGGAGACTGAGAGATGAGACTGTGAAAGTTGATAAGATTTTCTCAGGAGGGGCAGAAGATAATCAGGGACCAACTGAGTAGTGCCACACTTCTCCATTAGCGGCCGAGCCCCGCATCCACCCTGAATTTCGTCATTGGTTGCTGGGGTACAGGTATAATGTACAAATAAACAAGGCTTGGAAGGCTCTGTACTCCAGACAATTCACCATCACGCGGCTCAGCTAACATTAGGTCGGTATTTAACTAATACGCATTTCAAGCTTTTTGTTTCTTTCTTTTCTTCTTTTCGTTTTGCTGTAGCAACCACTTTGACAACCACTTTGACAACCGAAATTTACTCTTATGTTCTCCCTCGAAACATATCCCTTTCCCAAACATCCACGCATCTATAGAAACAATAGATTCAAATCCTTCCTGCCTACCTAGTACTTCCCACAAACTCACAAGCTCGTTCATCATATTCGCAAAAATGTCGGAGCAAACTCAAGAACCCCTCGTCGATACAAGTTCCGTTGTAAGACCAGCACAACACGAACGTCAAAAGAGTTTAGAGAAGTTGTATGCCGACAGGCCGACGGCTCATGAATTGAAGGAGAGACATATTTTGTTGGATACAGATGCTGCACCGTACGTTTTTCTCTTTCTCTACGATCCTACTAAATACTCTCCCCATTTCCATACTTCCCCAGTCTGCTATCGTGTTCTGGCAGTTTGTTCGTCAACGTGCTAATTGCGGGGTAAACAAAATAGTGGTATTCAAAGTGCTCAACATGCACTCGAACAACAAAGAATTTCGGATAGTTTGAAGAAGAATTTGGAACATCGTCCTACCAAAGAGGATTTGGTTGAACGTATGTATCAACTTCTATCACAAATGCTTTTTTATGTATTTCATTTCGATCGAAACAAACGCTAATACTGAAAACCAGGTAATATCCTCTCCTCCACAAACGCCGCTCCAGGTATCCAAGCACAACAAAAAGAATTGGAGAAACACATGCGTGCGGATAGTTTGAACGAAAAATTAAGTCATCGTCCGCAACCGGAAGAATTGGTAAACAAGGGTGTTTTGAAGGAGGATCCTACGAGTCCGATTGAAGGCAGTAATGAGAGTGCCGAGAAGAGATACGAGGAAGCTATCGAGGAGGAATATGCTAAGAGAGAAGGAGGTGCTTAGATTTACGGCGATCTATTGTGATTGGGCTGGAGGGAGTTTTTGATTTTAAAGTGCGAGGGAGTTGTCATTTAGCATGTATGCGTCGGATATGATTGCAACAATGAGAAAAGAGGAATACAGACGATGAATGTGAAAATGGGAATAGGAATCGGAGAGCGAACAGGGATGGGTTGAAATACGCGACTAGTTTCTGCGATTTTCCAGTACACAATGAATTACACCACAATTCTCGCATATGATTGACTCATTTGGTCTCTTCGAGTGTTCTACTTTGTTCATGTAAGGATTTTGCTTTCTATACCAGTGGATCAGTCTACTCTGTGGTTTATTCTCAAGGATAGCTACAATACGCACTTTCATGTATCCTGAATAGCACTACGAGTTGCTAGGCTGGAAG